TGGCATAGCAAGCGGGGTGACAACAGTTTGAGGAACACTTATTGAATGAAACTGCAGGAAAAAATGATCAACCAATATAACCTAATTGTGCAGGCCCTTGGGCTCCACAGCGGCCAAGCATTTGAGCCCAAAGCACATAACACTTGAAAGGCAGAGCCCCAGACCAGAAACCCGGTCTCTCTTATCTCAGGTCCAGGGCTCTTGTCACCACCCATGCTGTCCTCAGCCAGTCTGGAACCAGGTCCCAGCCTCCAGGAATCTGCAGCCTCCTGGCTGTCTCAGTTGCCTTCTTTCCAGCCCAGGGCTGTCCAGGAAATTGTATGTGAGGACAGGATTGTCCTCTGAGCGCACCTCCTGAAGACACGCGACACCTCTGCACTGCGCAGGGACACAGAGCTGATGGAGCGATGCTGGGGAGGACAAGAAGGGGCTGAGGAGAAAGACAGGCAGGGAGCAGCTGGGGCCCGGAGCAGAAGAGGGCAGCAGGTGCAGAAGGTATTGTTTTACACTACAACAAATCCCCTATCTCCGAAGCTACAGGAAGCCGCTGAAGGACTCTGGGCCCGGCAATGAAATGTTTTGATTGCAGCTTCCGTGAGCTTCCAAGGAAGCCACGGTTCCTCTGAGCACTTCTGACATGCCAGTAATTCCGGCTCTTGTCACTGTCACCATCCCACACAGTTTCTCACTTCACAGCTCATGATGCCACCCCAGCCTGGAAGAATCCTCCTTTCCCTCCAGGCCCTAAGCCACTGTCTCAGATGCCCTGGTCAGGGTCAGCACCTTCTCTGTTTGGGTACTCCAGAGCCTGTCTGGCCTGGGAGGAAGCTTTGTCTTTCTGTCCTTGCTGTGGTCAGTTTCTCCTTTCCAAGCCCTGCCCCTTCCGAAGCCTACCCTCAGCTCGCCAGCTCCCAGCTCTGGAGCCCTACAAATTCTTATCACATAACCACAAGTCATTCAAAGGCCCTCAGGCCCTGTTGCCAGGGCTGGGCCCCAGGGCAGGACTTCCCTTCTTTGGCCTTGATACAGCCCTGTCACAGGGAAACCCAGAGAAAGGAGGCCGGGCATTCCCAGCCTCATCAGGGAGATAGCACTAACCCCACAGGTGTGGACATAGAGACACATGTAGAGAGAGAATAAAAGATGGACAGCAGCCCGAGCAGACTCATCCGGAGGAGAGGCCCTCCTTCCCATCATGCCCTGCAGTGAGGCTGAGAGTCTGCCCTGAAGATCCCAAACCCTTCCCTGGCTGGCCTGCCCTGGCTCCCCAAGCCCCTGAGCCTGAGCCAGGATAGCGTGTGCTCACTGGAACATTCATCCAGCAAGTATGTCTGCTGTTCTGCGTTACGAGGCCTCCCTCCACGGGCCAGGCCTCGGGCCAAATGGGGAGCAGGGCAAAGAGGAGGTACTGAAACTATGACGCAGGGATGCCATTCCCATAAGGCCATGCAGCTGGCCTGTCAGAAGGTGGACCAGACGCCTCTCCTCCCCAGGGCTGAGGATGGAGGAGCCTGGCCAGAACTCTGAGCTGACCGCGGACTGAGAAACAGGCAGACGGGCAGAAAGAAGGAGGCAACACAGACAGCAGCAAACACGGGGAAGAGGCAGATGAGGAGAGGGGGACAGGTCAGAGGTCGGGGGAGTAATGTGGAGGAAGTGAGGGGAGGCAGGAGAAAGGGAGCACAAGAAAGCCCCCCCTTAGAGATTCTGAGCCCTAAAGCCTCCCCCACTTCCTGGCCTCTCTGTCTCCTGGGTAAGCAGAACAGTGTCCTGTCACAAATCACAGGGGGCCAAGAGCAACAGGGATAGACTTGGGGAGGCAGGGAGGAGAGGCTGAGTCCTATCCCTAGACCGCTTACGGACCAACAAGGACAGGCCTCCAGAGCCCCAAAGGATGCGCACGTGCACCCCCAGGTGGGGTTACCCCAGCTCATCCCCCCTGAAGCCCCTAGCTTTGTTTGTTAGGATCCCAGAAGGGATCTGGAGCCTGCCCAGGTACCCAAACACCCCCGAGAGGCCACCGTGTCCCCGTGCTTAGCTGTCAGCAGCCTCCAGCCTCCATGGGCCAGAACCCCTGGTTGGACCAGGCTCCTCACAGGGGCCAGGAGAAGGTCGTGTCCAGGGCTCAGGGAGGGTGGGGGTCCTCAGGGCTGGCAGGGGGACGGCCTGGTCAGAGTCAGTGGTCTGAATCAGATGACTCTCAAGGGGTAGAAAGAGTCATGGCTGGAGCTAGGACAGGAAAAGGGACAAGGACAAATAAGGAGAGGGAGAAGGAGGCAGGGCCTGGCAGTTCTGTGGAGTTGTGTTTGTTTTGGGCTGTTTTGCTGCCATTCCTGTTTGGCAGCCAGAACTGTGCGGGCCAAAGACACCTTGAAAACTACATCCAAAGGGGACTGCAGGCTAGAGAGGAAGCAGCAAGCAGGCGCCCGGGTCCCTGCCCGGGAAAGGATGCCATCCATCCCTCCAGGGAAAGAGGACATCTCCAAGGAAAGCCACATGGTACCCCAGCCTCAGAGACCAGCCCCAAAATGCCAGCCTAGAAGCCAGAGACTTGGTAATTAGCTGGGACTTGACCGTGCTCAGGGGCTGACCATGCTCAGGGGCAGAAGTCAGAAAGCAACAGCAGCTTCAGGCTGTGCAGAGGCGCTCGTGAGAGCTGGGCATCCAGCCGAAAGATCTGGGTGGAGAGAGGGTTCCGACTGGGGCCCACAGGGAGAAGCAGCAGCCAGCCTCCTTTCCTGTCTTCTGCCTTTCCTGGGGCCCCAGAACTTAGAGGGTAGCATAAGGAAGGGCTGGAGTTCCCACTCCAATGTCAGCAGCCAATGCATGGATAACAACTTGTACATCACTGACAACTTGTACACCCCCAAACCTGGCACACACCCCTCCCAAGGTTCCTCCTTTGTACCTGGGGGTGGTGAGTTCAAGCATCTGCCTCAGACAGTGGTTGTGGGGAGCACTGATGAAGCACTGGGGTCACAGCTGGCATCCAGGTGGTTGTTTTGGCCTTGACAGAGCCCAGATGCCATCACCTGCCCCCTCCCTCCCCCACGAAGCAGGTCAGGGTGACCAGGGTGGGGAAGGGCATGATGTTATGTTTGGTCAGATGCCATTGTGATACCAGGCCAGGGCAAAGGTGATGGAAGGCTGGGGTGGCTGTGCTCACCGATGTTGAGTGGGGGAGGGCACACGTGGCCAAGTGGAGGCAGACACCATCACACAGGGAGATGGATCTTTTGTGCATGGAAAGAGAGCTAAGAGATGGAGCGGGGGAAGGAGACGGGGAGAAGGGGTTGAGAAAAGCATTAACATGTCTTATGTACATGTACCAACTTCCCATGATGAAGGTAACCACTGTGTACTTCAAACAGGTACTAACTAAAATTTTTAAAAAATTTTTGAGGCTTTTATAGGTAAATGGTCACAACTAGAGACCATACTCATAAGTGAAATAAATCAAACATACATGTGCAAGCACAGCATTGTTTCACTAGTGCAAAACCTGAGTTAATTTAAACTAGGAGGTATGATAGACATTGTGAATTGATAGGAAAGTACTCAAGGGTAAAGGGCAACTGGGATGTGGGAAAAGGGAAGGGAAAGAAGGAGAAATTTTGTATGTATGTATATACAGGATAGTTAACATGGTTGTTCTACTGTCTTCTATTTCTTTGCTGAAAGAAGCTGTCAATGAGTCCTTGGTTGATCAATATTGCATGTCTCTATCTGTTTTTGTGAGAAACCACTTTGAAGATATCAATACATAATACAATAAACATTGTTAATTTCCTACCACTTTGTTTGTAACTCCATATTTTCTGTACTGTTCTTTTGCTATTTTGTAAAATGTTGTCTGTCTGTTAATGTTTTCCTCCTTTTATTTTTAAAATAAATAAAAAAAAATTTAAAAGATACCATCACAGTGTCCCAGTCACCTGGAAGTACCTTGCCAAACCATGTGGATCCTGGGATCCAGGTTTAGGAAAGACCCACAGTCTCAGTGCGGAGTCCTAGTGATACAGTGTCCACATGCGGGCAAGAGGTCCGGACTGAGACCTGGGATGAGCGAGATGACTCGCAAGCAGCCCCCTCTCAGTACTCCCGTCTTCCCTCTGGTCCTAGCGAGGGCTGAGAGCCCTTCCGTCCCTGACTATCTCAGTCTCTCCCAGATCCACTCCTCTCTCTGCTCAAGGACGGTGTGCCGGGTGCAAGGAAGACACATAGAGCAGGCCACTGGGAACATCGGGCCAGGCAGGGAGGAAGAGGCTGGCAGGAGAGGAGGTAGCTCTCCAGAAGGGACTCAGGAACTAAGGGGGGGCAGAAGGCAGGTCCCTGGCCAGTGAGCCTTCTTCTGCCCCACAGAGGCCTCATGGGGGCCACTGGTGCCTTCTACTTCTACTGCATATTTAATATGAAAAAGGTGAACAGCGTAGAGAAGCAAGGGAGGATGAATGGGAAGAGAACATTCCCGCAGCCCTGAAGGAAGCTGCGCTTGAGCAGGACCATCTTGGCTGGGAAGGCACGCACACCAGGCTGAAGCTGGTGACTTCACAGGTCCTCTGACCTCATAGGTCCTTCGCCTATGCAGCCCATGTTTTCATCCCCACTTCCCACACAAGGACAAAAGTCTGGTCACCTGCCCTAGGTCGCAGCAGTGGCAGGCAGCCCGGCTGAGCCTTGAACTCGACCTCACTTTTCCACCATTTCCTCTAGGCCTGAGACAGTGGGGTGCACACAGCAGGCGGGAAGCTGTGAGTGAAGGCAGGCAGGAAAGGGAAACGAAGCCAGGGAGACTCTCGGCAGCTAAAAAAGAAATAATAAAGGTGCTGTTTCCCAATGGAGGGTTGGCACCGTGCCCAGGCCTGCTGCCCTGCCATCAGGAGCTCGGAGCTGCGCTTGCCTCATCTTTTCCAGAACTATGTGGGCCCAGCTACGTCAGCCTTCAGGTATGCAGGAGCTCTGCGGTGACAGGCTTCTCTCGTCTCTCTCCTTCCTTATTAAATCTGCCTTCTTCTTGCCGCCTCCCACTCCCAAACCCTCCGACAGCCCAGGTTTGGTCCCCTCCCCAAGCCAGGCCGAGTTTGCGGGGGAGAGGGCCTGTGACCAGCCCTCCTGCAAGGCAGAGCCCCTGCTGGGGAGGAGACAGATGTGTGCCGTGCTGGGGGAGGGGCAGCAGCACCACATCATCTAACAGGTTGGTCGGGCTGGGAGGCGTCCCGCCCTCCCGCAGCTAATGAGCACTGTGCGACAGGTGTTTGTATCTCAGTCCCCAGCCTGCTCTGGCTGCGACAGGAGGCAGCCGCCCGCCACCCGCCTCCCATCCAAGGCTCGCTTGCCGCTCATCGCACGCCACCGGGCCCTCCCGCTCCCAGGCCGGGGGTAGGGGCCACCATGGCCTGCCGATCTTGCGTCGTCGGCTTCAGCAGCCTCAGTGGCTGTGAGGTGACCCCGTTGGGCAGCCCCCGGCCTGGGACCTCTGGATGGAGCAGCTGCGGGGCCCCTGGGCCAGGCTTCAGCTCCAGAAGCCTCACAAGCTGCTGGCCAGCTGGCACCATCCCCAAGGTGACCGTGAACCCCAGCCTCCTGGTACCCCTGGACCTCAAGGTAGACCCAGCTATCCAGCAGCAGAAGAACCAGGAGAAGGAAGAGATGAAGGTCCTCAATGACAAATTTGCCTCCCTGATCGGCAAGGTGAGCAGAAGTGGGTGGAGGGGCGGGGGACCAAAAAACAAAGGGTTGCCAGGTCTGGGCTGGTGGCTGAGCTCCTATTTCTCTGAGCGTTGGTCATTGGGCTCCACCCCTGCCTCCAGCCAATCGGGCGGCAGCATTGCTTCCCGAGCAGGCTGATTCTGAGCAGAGAGATGGAGCAGGAAGTCTTGATCCCTCCTGGTGTCAGGAAACAAAGGGACCCCAGGATTCCCTGGGGGTCATGTCACATGGCCTGAGGTCACCCTGACCCTCAGCCAGCTAGGGAGAAGCACTGAGCATCCCTAGGGAACGGCTCCCTCAGAGTGGTCTTCAGTACTGCTGCGGGGCAGGTGGACAGTGGAGATGGGTCCCCGCTCCCGTCTATCCCGCAGGCCTCTGGCCCCACAGCACCTCTCTCAAGGTTGCCCTCTCAGCTCCCATCAGAAGAGCTGGCAAGGCCGAGGGGGCGTGGGGGGCTGCTGCCCAGGCAGTGGGAAGCTGTGGGTCAGTGCAGCTTTGGCCATGTCAGGAGACAAGAATGTAGGGGACAGACACCTAGAGTTGGAACCGTGCAACCTTCTGTACCCCCACCTGAGTAGAGGGAGCAAGTCCCTGGCACCTGCAGCCCCCAAGCTTCCTTCACCCCACTGTTCTACGGCTGCTCTAGAGCCCTGGCACCCATCTCTATCCTCAGGCAAGGGAGCTCCCAATGAAGTCCTGTCCACCTCCCAAACCTGCTCCTCACTCTCACCTCTGAGAAATCTCCTCTCAGCCCTCCTGGTCCACTCCCTGTTGTCCTGCCCAAGAATACCATCATAATAGTAATCGTCATCGTGATAGCTAATTGTTTACTGTATGCTGGGCCTTGTGCTGGATGCTTTACCTATTTATCTCTATTTCCTTTGACTGCTTATATGAAAGAAGACGTTTTGTGCCCATTTTACAGATAAGGAAAACTTTGCCTTCCTGACCCTCCCAGTAAACAGGCTCAGCCTCCTGCCCTGACTCTGTCCCTGTCTGCTCCTTGGTCTCCTCTTCTCATTGCCGGTTGCCCCATGGTTTGGGAGCTCACAGAGAGGGGCAGGGGGAGGAGTGATGCATGTGGAGCAGCTGTCTGTGTCTGAGGGCCCTAGGGCCCCCTCCCTGTGCCTATCCTGAGGGTCCCAGACAGGAATTTGGCAGATGGGATGTGATTCAGTCTCCACAGCAGCACTGCACTGGCTGGTACTTCCCCACCCGGGTAGAAGAGGAAGCTGAGGACAAAACAGGTTAAGCACCTTGGCCAGGGCCACACAACCAGCCTGTGGTACAGTTTAGACTTGAACTCGGGTCCATGAAACACAAAACCTGCACCCTCTGAGATGGGGACCATTTCATTCCTTCCCCATTCACATGTCTGGACCAGAGTTTCCCATGCACACGTGAGGGCCCAAAGAGGAGTCTGGAGGGGAGGATGCGGCCTGAAGGAGTAGAACATCCGTCCCCAGAGCCCGCTGCACGGCCCACTGCTGCGCTGGCTCACGGGGGAGGCACGGCCCTGCCAGGCGCCTCCTCACCAAACCCGGCTTACTCCCTTAAAAGGAAGGCTGTGCTCAGCTCTGTAATTTGGCTCCAATGGTGGCTTTTCTCCCTTGAACGGTGCTGATGTCACCCTGTGCCTCCGTGTGGGGACAGGGTGGGAACAGGTGGGTGTGGGCAGAGGGAGGGGGTGCTCAGGATTTGGGTCCTGTGCCCTGCGCCAGTGAAGGTCTTTAGTAGACTTAGAGCCTCCAGCCCTCAAACTTGGCCTTAAAGTGGGGTGACCTTTGTGGGGGGATGCAGGAAGGTGGGGGGTCAGCACTTCAAGGGCCTTGATTGCTCCATCCCACCCCCACCCCCAGAAGCTCTGTGTCCTGGTGAGAAGTGCCAGCAGGCAGTGGCTCAGAGGGTGAAATTCGGAACACCATTAATGGATTTAACCCCGGGCTCCACCACTGGCTGGCTGTGCAATCTCAGGCAAATGACTTCACCTCTCTGTGTCTCAGTGCACATTGATATAATGGGCTCATCGATGAAATGGGAGCGACTTGTGAAGAGCAGTTAGAACACACCTAGTGCATGATTTTATAGTCGGTAAATGAGAAATAAAGTAAAAGGGTCTGGCCCCAGCTGCTCCCTCCCTTGCGGGAGGAGCCCAGAGGAGTCGGGTTGAAGGGGCCCTGCTGGGGCGGAGGGAAGGACCTTAGTGCGAAGGGGTCTGTGGGGGGCTGGAGAGAGATGGGGAGCCCAAGATAAGCTGCAGTACAGGGTGGAAGCTCTGAGCAGAAAGGAAGGCAGAGGTACCCCACCCCACACTCCCTTCCAGGCCCTCTAAGGCAAGAGAGGAAGGGAGGGGAGGGAGGGGCACTTCCAGGAGCTGGCAGAGAGGCCCCGGAGCAGCGCTGCTTCTCCCACTTCTTGGCTGTGTTTCCTGGGATCCGCCACCTCTCCTCCCTGTGCCTCAGATCCCATGGGGGCCCGGAGTTCCTGCTCAGGGAAAGAGTAGCAAGGCCACGGTCACGAGGTGAGGACTGAGGAGTGGCAGCAGGAGGGCAGGGGACAGAGGGAAGGCCGTGCCTGCTTCCCACAGGGGCTGCTGCCTGGGCCTCGCACCTTCACCTGCAGACAGCGGAGCCCATGGAGGTGGGCAAGAGGCAGGACCGTCCAGGGTCAGCCTGAGGAGGCTGTAGGGAGAGACCCCGCCCCAACGAGCAGCAGCCAAATGCTCCGGGACAGAGAGATGGGGATCGGGACCCCCTAGAACGAGTGACTTCAGAGTTGTCCGTCGGCCTGGATGCAGAAGGACACCGACCAGCCCCACCTGACCAAGGGATTGTGGTGTCTTGGTGAAGGCAAGGGATCTGACTAGGGCCAACCTGGCCTGAAGGACTGCTGGGCAGACTCAAGAAGCAGAGCCTCCAGGGCCTCAGCCCAACTCCTCCAGATGCTCCCCGGCTCCAGCCAGCAGCTCCTGCTCAGGCTGTTCAAACCACCTCCGCGAAAATCCCCTTCCACACCCTCTACCCAAGCCTCGTCGAGAACCATGCAGTTGGGCCACGTTGAGTTCTGGGCCTCTGGGCCTCGATTTCCTCATCTGTAAAATAGAGAGGCAGAGAGACCCCTCCTAGAGCTGCCACTGTATGAGCTCAGGATGGGGCCAGCCAGAGCAGAGAGGAGGGGTGGCAGCCTTGAGAGTTGGAGGTTGGCACTTTGAGGGCTGGCACTTTGCAGGCTGTTGGGATTATCAGCCCTCCTGGGCTTTTATTCCAAGAGAGAGGAGTCCATCAGCAAGAAGAGCCAGGCTGGGGGATGAGTCTCCATCTCCACCACTGAGACAAGAGACTCCTGCAAGGAAGAGAAGACAGAGGGCTCCCCCTGACTCCCCAAGACCAGCTGGCACAGGAGCATAGAGCACTGAGGTTAGACGAAGGGAAGAACTTCCTGGTGTGAAGGTTTCTCTGTTGCTCATGGGTGGAGGAAGGAGTCTCACATCTCTCCTGTTACCCCACCCTTAGTGTAAACACAGGACTCCTGCTTGTCAAAACGGAGAGAAGGTGGGGTGAGCAAATGCCTCCCCCCACAACGCTCCCTCTCACACACACAAAGCAGGCAGACACCCTCTTGACCTCCATCCCCACTGAACCTGTTTGGCTGTGACTACAGTGGGTGGCAGGCTTAAGGCAGCTTCAAGAAGAACATACTGGTGCGCATGGGAGGTGAGCAGCAGACAAATGTCACTGTCAAACGCCTGGAACCAACACTCCTCCTGGCCTTGTCTACTATGAATGTCAAAGGAGGCTTCCCAAGGACATGAGAGGGTCTTGGGAGATAAAGGAAAGCGTGGGGTGTAGATAGGGCCATGAGAGAGGAGGAAGAGGGACTGGTGGTGACCAGACTGGGCAACATCTGTTGGGGGGGCCTGTCTGGAAAGCATGGCCACTGGGTACTGTGTGGCCCTGGACAAGTCATCTGACTCCCTGCCCCAGGGTCTCCATGAGCTCCTCCGTGAAGAAAGGGTACAGAGCAGCTGAGCCCCAGGACTTCTGACAGCTCTCAGGCTGTGGTTCCAGAGCTGGCGCCAGCTCCAGATCATATGCATGAAGTCATAGGAAGCATCACGACTGATCACAGCATCCTCATGACAAAAACAGCGCAACTGTGCAGTAGCAGGGCCAGCCATGCCTCGATAGCCTATCCATGTCCTGGACTCCAAGAGCAGAGACCCTAGGAATGCAGCCGGTAGCTCCCAATCTGCAGGGAGGGAGGCTGGTAACCAGGACAGATGAGAAGCAGAGGAACTGAGGCTCTTGACGCGAGCGGGAAGGAGGAGTTTTTCAAGCGGAGTCAAGGAGGGCTTCCTGCAGGAGGACTGCTGGGCACACATGCAGAGGAGGAGAGGCAGAAAGGGCCAGCACACATGCAGAGGAGGAGAGGACAATGCCCAAGACAGGCTGGAGGGTGGATGGGCCAGGGAGGTCCAGGCCACATCTGACTGGCCTAGGGGAGGGGAGAAGGGGCCTAAAAGAGATCCTGAACAGCATACGGCTGCCCAGGCTGTGATCCATGGGCCATAGGAACCCTGGCGGAAGCCCCAGAGCAAGGCACAAGGTTGGCAGAGCCTGAGAGGAGCCTCAGGGCTCAGGGCCCTTGCATCTTCACCCTCAAGGCAAACCTGGCCAGAGGCAGAGGCAGAAGCTAGCTCAACAAGGGCAGCTGGGGTCTCCAGGCCAAAGTGACCCAAGAAACACCTAGGGGACATATGCTATTGTGGTTAAGAAATTCTCAATGCAAACTGCCTGGATTCCAGGCCTGGATCTGCCACTTGCTAATTTCATGACCTTGGGCAATTCTTTCACTTCTCTGCGCCTGGTTCCCTCATCTGTAAAATGTGCTGATACCTATGCTGTGGGCTGTTGCAAGCAGCTATCTAGTGAGTTAAAGATGGCAAGCATTCAGAAACAGGCCTGGCACACAGTAGGTGCCACATAAGCATGGGCTGTTATTACTGTTCCAAGCACATCAGTGGGGCCCTCTCCCAACAGTCCTCAAAGGCAGGCAGATGATATCATCCCCACTTTCTAGCTGGGGAAACTGAAGCTCAAAAAGCCTGCAGCTCTGGGTTTGTAGAGAGGATTAACACTGAAGTCCGAAGCAGACCTTACTTGCTGAGCTTCCAAGACAAGATGAAACCAGGCTTGCCTTGGGGGAGGGGCAGATGGGCCTCTGACACCTCACATTCCCAGGGGTCTCCCAACCCAGCCCCAGACAGGCTTGGACAGCCAGTCCCATTGTGGGCACTGTCACACCCTAGCCACCTCCCTCAGCTAGCGCCCCGACAAGCCCTTGCTAATTGGCCCCACCTCCCTCTGCTCCTTATCTGAGCATCTTCAATTTGAATAATCAGTAACCCGAGGTTCGCTGCTCTCAATGCCAGAGTGAGGCCCAGGTGGAGGTGCGCAGATGAGCAGCCACTTCCCAGGGAGCCCGCCCCACGGGCACCCGGGCTCACCCACCCCTGGCCCACTCAGTGCCCTCCTGCTCTCCCAGGTACAAGCCCTGGAACAGCGCAACCAGCTGCTGGAGACCCGCTGGAGCTTCTTGCAGGGCCAGGACTCAGCCACCTTCGACCTCGGGCACCACTATGAGGCGTACGAGGGCCGGCTGCAGGAGGAACTGCGCAAAGTGAGCCAGGAGAGGGGACAGCTCGAGGCCAATCTGCTGCAAGTGCTGGAAAAGGTGGAAGAGTTTCGCATCAAGTAGGTGGCTTCCTATGGGGGCCGTGGGCGAGGGGCTGAGGGTGGGGCTCAGGCTGTACTCAGGTGGGACACGTTCCAGCCAGAGGAAGGAGCAAGAAGTTATGGAGCATCAGTCTTCTTAAGACATTTACTGAGGGCCTCCTATGTGCCAGGTGCCACTCTAAACACCAGGGATGTGGCAGGGAACCTACAGCTGCCACCCTCCCCCCACCAGCTTGCAATACAGTCAGTCTTGCGCTGGCTCTTGTATGGCCGGCCCTTGGACACCCCCACAGCCCTGTTCAAGTGGGCCCACTCTGGTGCTGTAACCATGCTTGCTTGTACCCACACTGCGCTGGCGTGGGACATTATGTCATTACTAGAACCCTAGACGGGTTTCTGCTCTGAATATGGCTTTGGATTTCGACTTCAAATGGCTGGACAGGAGAGGGAGGCACCCAGTGTAGGCAGGAGACAGAAAGGGTGGGTTTCATTTGAATAAAGAAGCAAAGCCCTGTAGTAGTATGTGTGAGGCATGGAGGGTGCCTGGGAACTACAAGACAGGGAAGACGCAGCCTCCATATCCAAAATGTGTTTACAACGTTGGGACGTGCAGACAGGGAAACAGCCCATGAGCACAACAGCCTGACGGTTATGGGCCAGGCCTGGGCACTAATGTGAGAGGTCTTGGCCTTCCCCACTGTCGTCACCCTCACTAGCTCCCATGTGAAATGGGAATGTGGTGATGGATAGCAATCTCAGGAGGCAGGCAGAGGAAGAAGAGAATCCAGCATGGTGCCCGTCATTTATAAATGGCAGCTTTCCCATCCCCTAGAAGAACGAAGTTCTCAGCACGCAGTGAGTCCTTGATAGGAGTTTGCTAAGTTGAACTGGCAGGATGGGCCCTTGGGTAGCTCAGGGAAGAGGTGACCCCCTCTGTCAGGCAGTGGGCAGGGCTTCAGGGACGCTGAGAGAGAGCACGGAAGAGGGTATACCCTTGTGCACCCCTCAGGGGTCTGGTTTCCCTGAGAAGGGAGCCCCAGCCACAGCAAGGGGAGAACAGAGGGGGCTGAATGCCTCATCTCCCCTCCTCCAGGGCAGGGCAGCCCAAGCCCTGCCAGTAGGAGAGGAAGCGTCCATTCTCCAGAGCAGCCAGCCAGGAAGCCTATCTGGAAATCCAGGGGTCCGGGCTGTGGCTCAGCTTGTCCACTGCTTCCCCTGAGCTCTGCCCTCCCAAACCCTAGGAAACTCAGACCTGACTGCCCATTCAGAAGCCCCCAGCTTCGTAACACCCAACCAAAGTCAGATCAGTTCATCAGAACCCGTGGCCTGTGTCACCAGTTCCTAGTTAGGCCAGAGGATCAGAGAATGGCTGAATGAGGGTCTCGGTTCTTCTTCCATGGAAATCACAGACCCAGATAGGCAGGGCTTGTTCCTAGCCACACAGCCATGCACGTTAAATGTATCCTAACCTCAGCAGGCCACGGCTGAAGACTCCTCCAGCCAGCCCAGCCAGATTGTGGGCACAGGAGCCCCGCAGAGCTGGAGTCCTGTACAACCACTACTCGGTGTTTTCCTGCCTCAGCCCTGTCTGACTTGATGCCTTAGATCAGCATGTCTCCCCCTCCTCTGGGTAGGAAGCCCACCTCAGGAGGGGCAAGAGAGACTGTGGGTCTGCCAGCCAAGGCTGGGGAGAGCAGCCTGGCTGTGCAGAGCCTGAGGCCCCGGGAGAGGCGGGTGGAGCCCACAGGGAGGAGCCAGTGCCCTGCCTCTGCAAGGCGATGAGATCAGCCTCGCTCCAGAAATAAACAACTTACGGGGGAGGGGGACAGGTGTGACCACCTAAAAAGGGCTTAAGGAGGCGTTTGAGAGCTGGTGGCTGGTAGCCTGGCAGAGGATTGGGATAACTGGGGGACAAGGTGTCTCCTAAAGCCTCGGTGGAGATGAGGGCTCCCAAGGACTCGGAGGTAGCAGGGACCCCAAGGATTAGCCACATTAGCTCTTCCATTACTAAGCACAAAAGGAAGGCCCAGCAAGTGGAAACAACCTACCATGCCCACACAGCAAGTCCCACATGACTCTGGGACGCTGCAGGTGCCTGGGCAAGCGGGTGACAGATGAGCAAGCACCCAGAGGGGAGTGGGACTGAGATGCCTCGGAGCACCACGCTGTGCGGCAGGGCAGAGGACTCACACAGAGGCCAGGATAGACCAGCAGTAGCCTTGGGGGCACTGAGGCCCGGTCCCAGACAGGAAGCTGCCCAGTGCTCCTGTTGTGCCCCCAGCCTCGGCCCTGGGACTCAGGCCTCGGCAGCTGCCAGAGCCCTCCTTACCATACCTACCTGGAGCGCCAGCACCAGGATAGACCCAGCCTGGACTGGATGTCAGAAAGAGGTTCTTCCAGCCCCAAACTCCCAGGATCCTTCTCTGCTGGAGGGGACTTAACTTCCCTCTACACTCCTTGCGTATGTTCCTGGGGCCCCTGGAGGGTCTCTGTCAAGTGGCAACTCAGGTTCCCCAGCAAAGGACATATTTGAGGGGTGGGAAGCTCTGATGGGGCTCAGCACCCTCAATCCAAAGCCTGAGGCCTTCTTCTAAGGGTTTTCAGAAGACAGAGCTCTTATGAAGTGAGGGAGCAAGACCCAAGCAATCAGAATCCCTCAGCAACAGGCAGAGACAGGGCTATAAGACCTCGGCCTGGAAGGAGGAAGGGAAGCGACAGAGGGGGGAAGGACAGCGGGGTGTGAGGAGCGTGCTGGGCACCTGGCCCCCCAACAGGCTGCTCTCTCCAGCTCCTGTCAGCCGGCTGGCAGGACTTTGCTGCCCCAAGGAGGTGATTGAGGGGGCTCAACCACCCACCTTCACGTGAACAGTGAGCGGCTCCCCAGCCTCTGCCCTGTCCTCCTGGCAGGGCATTCCTTGGAGCCCCTCGGGTCCCAGGAAGAAGCAGTAGAAGTCAGCCCAGCCCTGAAGATACGTGAGGGATGTGCGGACGGCCACCCCGGCTTCCTGAGGCTTCTCTCCAAGAATATTAGAGGACAGGGCGGAGGGCATCAGGCCCTGCTGTCAACACTTTCTGTATTAACCCATTCAGTCCTCCTGACACAGCCGTTGTCACACCACGGCCGCGCAGCCAGTCCGTAAGGAAGCGGAATTTGATGCCCTGCTGCCCAACATAGCACAAGTGCCTCTGGCCCGTCTCCCAGCCAGCTTCCTCCTCTGTCAGATGGGACTCCCAGGACGTCCCCAGCTGGAGGGTCGTGGGACAGGTATAGAGTGTGTCCAGCATAGGGCCAAGGGTGGCCCACAGCACCTGTGACAGGGCGTCATGTTCCCCCTGGTCTGCTCTCTGCTCAGCACTGGTGACCAGGATCCTCAGAGCCCCTCCTCTTAGACTTTGGAACCCGAGGCATGGCGAGGGACCACATCTGGACCCGCACCCCGAGATTCAGAGACCATGTGCCCTGTGGGCCCTGACCACCCTTAGGTCCACTCCCTCAGCTCTTCCGTTGGGCTGGGGGACAAGAAGACATGAGGGCTGGCAGGCCCAGCCAGCAGCATGGTGGCCATGGGTGCCACCCTTCCTGCTGTGAGGTCAGGGACTGGGGCAAGTGGGGGGCTACCCTGAGAGCCACCAGCGATTCAGGCACTCCCTGGAGAGGAGGGAAGCACAGAAACCGCAGAACCCCACGTACACTGGGGCCAGCAAAGGCTGGGATAGGGAACGTGAGGCCAGCGGTGTCCACCTGACCATGGAGCCAAGACAAAGTCTAACTGGAAGAGAAGGGTAGGGTCAGGAATCCAGGGGTCCCAGCCCGCCTCCAACAGTGTCCTTGCTGCAAACACAAGGTGACCTTGACTGGGGAGGAGACCAACCCGGGAAGAGATTTGTGGCACCCCCTGAAGTACAGACTGCACACCATGTGCCCAGCTATGGCAGCCGGGATGGACTTTGTCAGCCTCTGCGCACATACACCCCTGGGCACCTGGGGCCCGCACACACAGAGGAAGCCAGCAGATGAGGAATGACGTTACTCTGCACCAACTCTGGTCGCTCTGGACAGGGATGGCGCCCACTGTCTGTCGAAGCAGGGGGAAGAAGGGTGGGGCTGTGGGAGAGGAGGCAGGTGGGAAAGAGACGTAGCAACCAAATGCTGGGGAGGACCTAAGGCAGTGATCGTCTGGGAGGAGGCAGAAAAGCGGGGAGAGCGCCACAGGCCAGGTGAAAGAGCTGGACGAGGCGGTGCAGCCGAGCAAGGAAGAGGAGACCTGGGCATCCTCAGGAGGAAGCGAGAGGACAGGAGCCAAGTGCAGGGTGCCAGGGGTGTGTCATGGAGCACGGGCCATTGCACCCCCAAAGGGAGAGCCACTCCCTCTAGTGGCCATAAGGGACAGAGTGGGACAGCCGAGGCCCTGCGTCCCATCCAAAGAGAATGAGCCAAACCCCCAGCTCCCACCATGTCCAGCTGAGCCATCTCCTCCCTCCCCACCCCAGGTATGAGGATGAGATCTCCAAGCGCACGGACCTGGAGTTTACCTTCGTGCAGCTGAAGAAGGTAGGCTGCCCCCACCCGGGGCTCTCCCTCCTGCCCCTAGCCCCCTTTACTTCAGGCTTGCCCAATTGCCTTTATGCCCATGCGAAGCCCTCAGAGGCTCAAGTCTCAGGACCAACACACAACCAGAGCGATGCATCCGTCCGCATCGTGCTCCTTTCCCAGGCGCTTGCTGCCCCTCCCCGCCCGCGGGACCCCGCCACTCCCTTTCTCCCTCTCACTGATGTCACCAACACCAGGATCTGGACACTGAGTGCCTTCGCCGGACCAAACTGGAAACCAAGTTGAAAGGCCTGCAGAGCTTCTTGGAGCTGATGAAAACCATCTATGAGCAGGTAAGCGGATGGGGCCAGGGTCTCCTCCATGGACATGGGGGAAGGAAGGAAGTCCAAAGGCACGGACCCTTCAGCAGCGCTTGTTTCACGGAATATGGGCAGTTCCCCAAAGCCGCTGTCTCAGGGAGAACCCTGTATGTCGCAGTGTGTGCTGGGTGCTGAGGGCATGCAGGGGACGAGATGTCTCAGGGCAAGGATTAGGAGGCTGGCCTCAACCCGGAGGCCCTGAACGACTGTCCAGATGGAGCTGCTCTTATTAATCCCTGCCACCTACGGCACAGATGCACACAGCTCCGGGTCTCATGGGCAAGCTTCTCACTCTCCCTGCTTTGGTTCCGGCTCCCAGACAATCTTAGCTTCTAACAAAATAACTCAGGACGTGCGGACAGAGCAGCCTCCAGAATACATTCTTGTTTGTCTCCTAAGTCCTCAGCTGAACCTGGGTGGACAGTGACCCAGCGAGCCCTACTGTGTTGCCAGCACAGCCATCAGAAGGGCCTCTGCTGACCCCTGGACACTGCTCCTCCACTCTTCTCCTGGGCACTGTGCAGGATGACCCTTCTCTCTGCACTTTCTCTCAGAGATGAGGTGTCCAAAGAGACGCTCTTGTGCTAAAAGGCCCTTCCACGAGGATCTTCTGTGTAACTCAGAGTAGGCAGAAGTGTGTGTGCTGAACACTGCTGGTGCCAAGCAGTACCCACGCAGCCAAGTTGAGCCACCACACGGTAAAAAGCTCTGCTGTGGGCCCTGTGGTCCTTGGACCCCAACTTCACAGCCTTGTCCTGTGGAAGGGAGGCCAGACTTCGTGGCTGTGCACAGCCATGGTCCTCACAAGCAGGCTCAGCCCTTCTGGGGCCACAGAGGTACAGAGACCTATCCGTGGCCATAGTGTGGCTTTGCAGAAAAAACACTGCCTGCTAAGGCAGGACACCCACGCCCATAGCCCTGAAAAGTGCCCTGTTCAGCACAGCCCTCCCCAGCCAGGCCAAGCCCAGGGGAGCCTTCTAGGCTCCGTGCCCACAGGCTGGTTTAAGTGGGCTAGGGCTTCCCCTGCGCAAACTCTCCAGCAACCACCGTGGGGCAGTGCTCACTCTGCTCCCCCAGCATCTCAGCACACTCAGAGCTTGAGCTCTAAGCCAGGACAGAGGCCCTGCAGTTGTGGACAGCACCCAGAAGAAGCCTCTGGAACCAGTACCGCCAGGCAAGCATTGCCAGAGACGTGCCCACAAAACTTCTTGGCCCTTTCCCCAATAGCCAGCCCCATGGACTCCATTTGGACCATTTCTGCTACTTTGGGCAAGCCATGTCTCCCCTCATGCCTCAGTTTCCTCATCTGAAAAATGGAGAGATTTTGCATGGGAGAGTCATGATACCAGCCTGGTAGGCCTATGAAACAGACTAAGCCCATTCCTTCAATGCAAAAGTGTTTGCCAACACCTACCAGTTGCCAGGCACTGCTAACCCAGCAGGAGCAAGAGGACACAGTGCCCACCTCTCCAGAAGGGCGGGGTTTAACTAGGAGGAGACAGGGAAAAAGCAAATAAACAAGAGTCTGGAGGAGATCACTCAGGGAGATGGTTAGTGCTGGAGTGCAAAAAATTCAGGTGATCTGACGTGCTGGGGGAGAGGACAGCTTCAGAGCCCCGTCGGGGGCCTTTCCAGTGAGTTGCAAGAGCATGGCAGGGATGGGGACGCTCTGGCCAGTAGGAAGAGCTACACAAAAACCTTGAAGTCAGGGGGGCACCTGGGGACTAAAGGGAAAGGAGGCTGCTATGTTCAGAGCAGATGAGGCAGGAGGAGCCTTGGGTCAGGAAGAACCTGAAGGGTCAGCTTATGCCTGGTCTTGGGCTTGGAGAGTTTGACCTTAGCTAAGCGTGATTGTTGGTATGGGTACTGGGGGTGGGGGTATGTGGGGGATCAGCATCAGGCTTACATCTTATAAGACTGCTATGGAGCTGGGTGTGGTGGTGCACATCCGTGACCCCAGCACTCGGGAGGCTGAGGCAGGAGGATCACTGTGAGTTTGAGGCCAGCATGAATAGCAGTGATGGTACTAAGTGTATTACAGTTTCCCTCAGTACCCTTGGGGAGTGGGTCCACAAATCCTGAAGATATCAAAGTCCTTCAATGCTTGATTTGCATATAACCTGTACATATCCTCCCATATACTTTTTTCTAGTACTGAGGATTACACTCAATGCTTTCACGCTGAGCTACATCCTCATCCTCCTCTTGTTTTTTTTTCTAAGACAGGGTCTCACCAGTTCCCCAGGCTAGGCTTGAACTACTAATCCTCTTGCCTTAGCCTCCAGAGTAGCTGGATTACAGGCATGTACCACCATGCCCGCCCATATACTTAAATCATCCCTATATTAGTTATAATACCTAATACCATGTAAATGTTATGTAAATAAGTAGTCACTATACTGTACTGTCTTAGGAAATAATGATAAAAAAGTCTGTACGTGTTCAGTACAGATCCAATTTTTTTCCCACCCACGGTGGGTTGAATACTCCAGTGTGGGGCCCATGGATACAGAGCAACATCTCTATGGCATCTATTGCTCCTTTTGGAAGCAGCTAGGTGGCAATTGGCAGTGGAAAGTGAGCTTTGTGTTCCTTTCCATATCTGAGATGGCTTTTTGCTAAAAATATTCCCCACACTACTGGTTCTCTAAGCAGCACTAATATGATATGAGCCACATTTGGAATTTTAAGTTTTTGGGCTGGGGATGTAGCTCAGCGGCATAAGTGCTTGTCTGACAAACCTGAGGTCATGAGTTTGATTCCCGGTACTGGAAAAAAAAAAAAAAGAAAGAAATTGAGTTTTCTAGTAGCCACATTTTTTTAAAAAAGAAATAACAAAAAACAATTTTGGTAATATAGTTTATTTAGCCCAATATACCCAAAATATGGTTATTTCAATGTGGTCATTATAAAAAAATCAATAGACTATTTTACATTCTATCTCTCATACTAAATCTTCAAAATCAGGTGTGTGGTTTATGCTTATAACTCATCTCAGTTTACACTAGTCACGTTATGACTAGTGGCCACCCCCCAGGACAGAGCAGGCTTGAGCAAAGGGAGAGGCCACGTCACTTCCACCAGGGCTGCCTCAGGTGAGAGGAAACATGGTGGAACATGGGGAACCTCCGGAGGTCTGCAAACTCTAGTGTCAACTTTGGATCAGACTAGAAAAGCATTGCTGTACAGGCTCATCCTGTGTCCCGGGAAACAGCCCCCTCTCCCCAGCACACACATGCACGTGTTTGGCTGGGATGCCCACAGGCCATGGTCTGCTCGGGCAGGCCCTCGTCTGTACACCGCAGCCTCCTCAGGAAGCACCACCAACCCCTGCATGACAGGACACAAACCCACCCTCCCTCCTCCCACTGAGGTGCAGCCCAGCTCGCTGGCACAAGTGGGACCTGGATGCATCTGGCCTGAATGCCACCTGCCCCACCCATAACCCCCAGTTCCAGGGAGATTAGTTGTGGAATCTGCTGACAAGTCCTGCAGCCAGGCACACCTCCTAGGAGCTGATTCCTACAAGAGAAGCAGTGGCTGTCTAATCAGCTTTGACAGGGAAGCGACTTCCGGAGTAGGCTGCTCTGCCCCAGGACACTTCACCCCAGCTTTTTCACTTTTATCAGTTACAACAGTGTCCTTTGCCAGTGTTTTTTGGACACTTACTACATCCCAGGCACTATGCTGCATGCTTTTCAGACTTAATCTCACTTAATCTCCTCAACAAGCCTATGAATTAAGGCTAGCAATTAAAGAGAGCAGCTTGGATTGGAATGTGGGTTCAGGAACCAGGCAAACAGGGACACCTCCCTGCCTCAATCTTCCCATCTATAAAATGAGAAGAATGATAGCAGTACTTCAGCAGGCTGTTGTGAGGATTTTTTTTTTTTAAATAGATCCTAAAGCACTTAGAACAGCGTCTGGCACTGAGAAAGCATTTAATAAACATTAACAATTTTCAGCTATATAATGCCCATTTCACAGATGGAAAAACTAAGGCTCAGAAGGATTTACAAACTTGAAAAGGGTTACTTAACTAATAAGAGGTGGGGGGACTCAGGGTACAGTTCCCTTAAGCTCTACATTTTATTATTAAGACGAGTTACTCTCTACCATGCCTGGGGGTACTCAACGAGGGTGGTCACACACAGCAGCCTCCTCAGGCTCTGACTACAAAGAAAGCCCTAAAGTGTACCATGGCTTAATTCCTACCAACCTGTGGATACTGGCGCCCATCCCAAGCTGGCCCATCCCCACCACAATCGAGCATTGTTATGCCCTCTCCTCCCGAGGGGCAGCGAGTCTGGACAGGTCTTCAGTGTTCTCAGTGCTCCATTGCTTGCTTCTGTTTTCCGGGCTCCTGCCTAGTCTGCCTCTTTCCAGAAAGGGTCTGAGGCTGCCCCACCAGCTAGGCTTCGCAGACCCCTTCACCCCTGTGGCATCTCTTGGCAGTGCCCCGCCTTTTCCTGGGCCGTATCAAATGCCAAATCCAGCCAGGACTGGAAGTGCCGCCGGAGCTCTATCCAGGACACCCACATACTCCCTGGTCTCCAGGACCGCAGAGGAGCGGGGATGGGATGTGAGGGCGGGCATAGCATGCAGGCTGGAGAAAGCTCGGGGAAGAGGGACAGAGCGCGCTGGGGACAGGGAAGAGAAGATGGCAATGTCCTATTTCGGGCAAGCTCCCCAGCTAGGGAAGCCGGGGTGGACCTAACGTCAGAGCAGCACCTCAGCCTCACACGGCCTGTACCTGTTTTCAGTAAGGCCGGGCAGTGGGGGTGCAGGCCTGCCAGCCTCAAGCCCCACCCCGCTCCCCCATGGCAACATTTACCCCAAAACGAGGAGCTACCTGGCAGGGAGTGGGGCTCAGAGATGGGGGTGGCTCTGCCAGGCCCTGGGGGAGCTCCTGTCCCCGCCAGGGCCCAGCCTGCCTTCCTGCGCCTTTTCTCTATCAGTTGGGAGGGGAGGACCCAACGTTGCAGTGGGCAATGGGGAAAGAGTACGGAAGTCGGGGCGGGGGTGAGGTTCGTGGAGTGGGCCTCTGGAGCCACCCGCCCCTCCTCACCCTGAGCAAAGAAGGGGAAAATGGCGAGGCGAGCAGAGGGCAGTGAGCTGCCGCCTGGAGTCCTAAGAGTGAGAGTTCAGGGCAGACAGGAGGGGAGCAGCACATCCCTCTCCACCGCCTGGGGGGGGGGTGGAGGCTAAGGGGTGGCCAAGGCCCTCGCGCCGTCCCCCGCGGCACTAAGCCCCTCACTCTGCCTGGCCAGGAGCTGAAGGACCTGGCAGCCCAAGTGAACGAACTGTCGGTGACCGTCGGCATGGACAGCCGCTGCCGCGTTGACCTGAGCGGCATCGTGGAGGAGGTGAAGGCCCAGTACGACGCCATCGCGGCCCGCAGCCTGGAGGAGGCCGAGGCCTACTCACGGAGCCAGGTCGGGCTCGGCATGCAGGGTGGGGCGGCTCTGCTCGGGTCACAGGAGGGCTGTTCTGGAGACAGCCGAGGTCTCTGGCAGCTTCCCCTAGCCTGAGACCCTCTGAGAGGGGCAGGAGAAGCACAGGGCGGGCGCGGGGCAGTGAGGACAGACAGGCATCGAGGGTGAGCCTAGCCTCTGCCAGGGGCAGCAGGAGGGAAGGAAGCCGCAGTATATGCCCTCCCAAAGTTCCAGGGCTCACCTGGGAGCCCCCCCAGCAGGACCTGGTGTTGAAGAGGGAGGTGACAAAGGGGCGGGCTGCAGAGGGGTAGAGACGGGGCTGGGGGCTGAGAGAAGCTGGCCAAGCCAAGGCGCGTCACTTCCTCCATGCCTGGGCAGCTGGAGGAGCGAGCCTCCCGCTCAGCTGAGTACGGGAGCAGCCTCCAGAGCAACCGCTGCGAGATTGCTGACCTCAACGTGCGCATCCAGAAGCTCCGGTCCCAGATCGTCTCTGTCAAGAGCCATGTGAGTGTCTGCAGGACCCACAGGGTGGGGCTGGAGGAGCGCGCTCGGGCTCACACTCACGCACGCTGAGCACACACAAGACCTGACTGAGAGACCCTGAGCAGGTCGGTTAGGGCCTCTGCGCCTCAGCTTCCTAACCTATCAAACAGGAATGTAGCACAGCCTGCTGAGGCGGTTGTGAGGATCACATGAGCGCTGCACAGGAAGGAGCTCTGTAAGCTGGCCGGAGCTGCTCGGACAGCAGAGAGCTCCCCATCACGTACACCCCATTGCCTCCCTCCCGCCTGCTCCAGCCGCACTGAGAAAGGAACGGAGGCCTAAGTCAGGCCGCCGGGAAGCACAGCTGGGGCAGCCTCCTTCGGTGACTGCAGTACTCCACTCTGGCCAGGAAAGGGTATTTGTAGGTCCAGCTGAATTTCTGCTTACTGCATTGCAACCCAGTATGCGCCCTGCAATGCCTCCACTTAGCCTCCATACGCACCAGTGACAGAGGTGACCGCTGGCCGCAGCCGCTCCCCGGCTCCCTGCTCACCTCCTCCTCCCTCTGTCTTGTGGGCTGCAGTGCCTAAAACTGGAGGAGAACATCAAGGCCGCGGAGGAGCAGGGCGAGCTGGCCTTCCAGGACGCCAAGGCCAAGCTGGCCCAGCTGGAGGAGGCCCTGCAGCAGGCCAAGCAGGACATGGCCCGCCAGCTGCGTGAGTACCAGGAGCTCATGAACGTCAAGCTGGCGCTGGACATCGAGATCGCCACCTACCGCAAGCTCGTGGAGGGCGAGGAGAGCAGGTGGGGGGCCGGGCAGGCTGCAGAAGCGGTGGGGGGGCCCAGGCCCCCACACGGTGTCCCTGGCACAGCTGCATTCCGGGCCTGGTTCAGCATTTCCTGAGATCTTGGCCTAATTCATTAAACCCTCAGTTTCCCCTCTGGAAAGTAGGCTGACGTAAACAGGGTTTATCTGTTGTGTAAAAGGAAGGTTAATACGAGTACGTGTGCAGATACACGTCTACTTCTGTGCATTTACGTGCAAATGGTGGCTATTTGTACAGAGGAAAGAAGGGGAGGAGTTGTCCTCCGGTGTTACACAGTAGGCAACCCCCGGGCTGGAAGTGACAGCCAAGAATTGCCCTCTACTTGCCAGCCCCAGGCCCCTACCCCAAAGGAGCTAAAGCTATAGGCTGCCTCCACATTCTGCCATATTCCCCCTCCCCCAGGATGGACCTGCCCTCTGCCTCGGCCACCGTGGTCAGCACCGTACAGTCCTGGCCCAGAACAGGTGAGTCAACCTGCCCAAGAGCCCGTGGTGGGGAGGAGCGCGGGGTGAAGGGGATCGGGACCCCGAGGGCATCATTTAAGTGGCTCCCAAACCTCCAGCCCCTTCCCTGCCCCACCCCTTCTGTCCCCTGTAGCTGCCTCCAAGCCAGGCCTCTCCAAGGCCCCCTCCCGAAGGAAGAAGAAGAACCGGAGAGGCCCCGTAATCCAAATCACCGAAATGTCAGAGAAGTACCTGTCTCAGGAGTCGGAGGCCTCAGAGTAAGGCCGCTGGACCCCAGGAGCCCTAGGACAGCCTCCAACTGCAGCAGGAGGGACTCAAACGAGACTCAGAAAAGTGTCTGGGAACCTCCAGGTTGGGAGGGGAGACAAAGCCTGATACCGGCCACAGGTTTTCCCAGCTGGGTGAGCTGGAACTTGGGGGTCAGCTGTGTCCACCTCCCCATTCCCCTGAGGCTCGCCCTCCAGCAAGGGGCTCTCACCAAGGTGCTTCCACTCTTCTGCCTAACACTTGCCCTAAACTCCTCTCTCCAGCCTCGCCTTGCCTCTGCCTCAGAACTGAGGCTGCCCTCCCGCCCAGGCGCCGGAGGGGCTAGGACCACTCGGCCCTATCCTGTGAAGGCCGGCGCTGAGGACCCTTGGCTTTCCCACACTTGGACTCCCCAGACACCTGACAGTATTAGGGAGTAAGGGGAGGAGGGGCCCTGGCCACTGGAGACCCGAGCCTGGACCTTGCACCAGCCTGGACACCCGCGCCCTGCTGCCCTCCTGTGGCCCCCTCCCAGGAGACCACAGCCGGAACTGGGCAGGCGCCCCCAGCCCGCTCCTCCACCTCTCCAGAAGCTGCTCCCACCATGGCCACCTCCCTGCACTTGTGGGATTCACCTGCCCCCAGCACAGGTCACTCCCAGCCTCGACACCCAGCGCTGGTACACCAAGCCCTGCAGACCCCCAGCCCCATCCTTGTGGTGAAACCCCAGTCCAACTCCCCTGACTTCCACTTCTCAGGGCCCTGTTCTCCTCTGCACTGGGCCAAACAGCCCAGCCCTCCCCCTGCGCACTCCCTGAGGGGCCCAGGACGCCCTCCCCGAGGACTGACATCTTTTTCTTCTCTTCCCCTCGGCCCCTCCCCCTCCCCATGTCCACTCTCCCTGCCCACAGCCGGCCATGAGGACAGCACAGCCTGGTCTGGGAGCTTCTGAGCCCTGACTTGGCTGGGAAGCCCGGGATACTTTTTAAAAGGGCTCAACCAAAGAGCAAACTTCGAACCCACAGGCGGAAAGGTCCCCCTCTCTGGGGGAACCTAGCAGTGCCAGCTCAACTCCCCAAGCCACTGCCTCTCTGCCCTTTCCTTTGCTCTTCCCACCTTCCCCTTCCCTTCCCTCGCCTCCTCTTTTAGCCTGTCTGATCCCTTCATCACATTTTCCAGGACAGACTGGCCTAAGGCCTTGGCCTCGCCTAATCCCCGAGGCCCTCCAGGCCTGTGGGGGCTGCTGGAGGGCTGCCAACTCTCTCAGGCCAAAGGAAACTCAGCCAAGTATTCATCCCTGCTGTCCCCAAAGAGGGTGCTGATTGCTGCTTTCTTCTCGGGCTATTTATTGGTTTCCAAGGGAGCAAATCCTCAGTGGGAATATGAGATATATAAAGTATATATTATTTTTTCATAACTTATATGGCTTTTAACTTATTGCTTCCCTTCCTGTTTCTGCATGATCAGTGCTATGTACCCTCTGGACTCCAGACATCACATATCCCGGCCACCCTACCTGACTGGGCAATGTCCGCCCCCAACTCCCTGCCAAGGGATGAATAAAGTATTGAGATTTTGTCCATGGATGAAACTGTGCATCTGTTTTATCTCATCTCTGGGATGAGTCAGCCACTGGCCAATCAGATCGAGCAAGGGATGCTACAGATTCCTTCCATCCCTGGGGGGTGGGGGCGCTAAAGAGCTCTACCCAGCTGGGTTCTTAGATGTGATCCTTAGCTGGTTCTAGGAGTGACAGTGACACAAGACCCTGTCTCCACAGAGAGGTCTGGGCTAGGGGAAGTAAATTCCAGGGCAGTCCCCTCCAGATAAATGGAAGGTGTACAGCTGGTGGAAGATGAGCACCACGTGAGTAAGTTTGGCACACGGGCACACTGCGCCCCAACTCCCAGCACTGGTAATAAGAGTTACCTTTCCGCTTTGGTCCCGTGTCTTCGCGTAAATGTGTTGAGTGCTGCAGGAAGGCCAGGGCCATTCACACAGCCCTTCCTTCTGCCCCCTTGGACTCATCACTATGCCAGGCTGGGGTGTTTGGGGGCCTTATGTCTTTAACTCCTCCAGTCAGCACCATGAAATCCACAGGCGGCCGCGGCAGTGACTGGGACTGAGGCTGCTGGTCTTGGGCACACACCTCTTGGGGGAAGCAGTACCAGCCTCACCAATCTGTGGTGAAGTTTTAGCGAGATGATGCGTGATGAAAGAATTTAGCACCATGCCTGGCACCTAGTAAGTGCTTAATAATAACAACGACAGCGAACACATTGATGCTGAGAACCTTTCCCCTATCCCCAGCGGAGCTGAAATCTGCCCCCTCCCTGCCCCAGGGGACCTGACTTTTGGCCCAACTTTACCTGATCCCCTCCTCCCAAGAGAGGCAGGGCTCAGATGCATGTTTGGGGAAAACTGAGGATTCGAGCAGTCGGGAAATGACCCCACCCTTCCTCTTCCCTCTGGAGCTGACTGCCCAGCCACATTCCATCGAGGAAAGGTCAGCTGGCGCGAGCCACGCAGACCACTGCCCTCTGCTGGCAGCGGCGAGAGCAGCACTTCCCGGGCGAGCTCGCCTGCCTTCCTCTCTCCTAGACCCAAGCAGGGAAGAAAGAAATAGGGCGGTGCTTCTAAATCCCAAACTTAGGACTCTGGTTCTCTCACACTTGGCTCAAATATCAAGCCTCAGCCCTCAGAGACCCCTCTCCCCCAACCCCACGTCCCTTCCCTGGGGGCCTGCCATGGCCCACTGACCTCAGTCTCTGACCCCCACCAGGTCTGGCCCCTCACTTTTCATGTCTAGGTCAAATGTCAAGTCCTCCAGGACCTCCGTAAAGTCCCTCTAAGTCTGACAGAGAAGGCCAGCCCAGTCCACTCGCCGAAGAGCAGGACTAGCTTTCATGGCTTCCTACAGCAGAGCTAGGAGCCAGTAGCTTCCCCCTGAACCACGAATACAGCATTTTTCCTTGTGTTTTAGGAGACTTCCTCCCTGTAGGGTACGGACTGAGGCCCCCTCGCCTGGAGACATCCGGCTGTGTGTGTCCCCCTCCCCTTTACAGAGGACCTGGTCCCCGTAATAAGGGTAGGGGGCGAAGGGCTGCGCAATCCACACATGGTTAGCAAGCAAGGATGGAGAAGGAGCGCACATCTTCCCTTTTAATGGGGAAGGTCACGGACCGCGGCCTGAGAAGCCCTCCATCCCTCTCCCCCACAGGGAGAGTGCAAGCGCCTTACCGCACTTGCACACTTCTTTCTGTCCCCTGCCTCACTGCTGCCCTGCGCTGTGCGCCGTGCTGCACTTGGCCAAGCCTGCGTGATACCCGCTGACTCTTTCCTGGGTGCACCAGGTGGCATCCAGTCAGGACAGGAGAATCCAGCAGAGGGATCCAGGCAGGACCTGGGAGCCGGGGTACTGGACGTTGGAAGGGCCGAGGGAGAGAGCCATAATGTCCTAGATTAGAAACCCGGAGACAAGAGCGGCTGTACGCGGAAAGAGGGGCCTTACCCGGAGCCAGGGCCAAGCAGGGCCGAGGGGCCTGATTCTTGGACTTGGAGGCGGCAGGATCGGAAAAAATAAAAGTTTCTGCTTTGAAACAACTGGAACTTAAGACTGGGTGATCGCTCTGACAGGGCGGCCCAGTCTGAGAGGGCCTCCAGCAGGGGGGCAGATGTGCCACGCAGCGCCCAGGGGACACTGATATGACACCCGCACGTCCCCTGCCAGGACCCTCTGCTCAGAACCAACAGCCACTGCCCCTTCTCAGCGGGCTTTCTTGCCCTTCTAACATTTTCAAGGAGAGAAACCTACCCCATGATGTCCCCGTCAAGGTATGTGATTTCGGTGGGTGTCACCATAGCCACTCAATTTCTACCCAAAACAGAGCCAGGAGTTGGGTGTGGTGATACACACATGAAATCCCAGCACTCCAAAAGGCTGAGGCAGGGCCAGGGACATAGTTCAGTGGCATAAGCACCTGCCTGGCAAGTGCAAGGCCCAGAGTTCAATTCCCGGTACAAAAAAAAAAAAACAAAACACCAAAAGGCTGAGAGAGGAGGACTCCAAGTTCAAGCCTAACCTGGCTAATTTAGCCACTTACCAACACCTTGTGGCAAAAGTTAGTAAACAGATAAACAATTGTTCCAATTTTAGTGTGTGTGCTGCCGAAGCGAGCACAGTAAATAGATAAATAAGCGGCTGAGGATGTAGCTCAGTGTGAAAGCTCTGGGTTCAAGTCCCAGTACAGCAAAAAAAGAAAAAGCCCCCAGGCTCCCACCCCGCTCCCAGCCCCCACAGGTGGTCCCAGCATGGCACAGCTGCACCACTGAGGCTGACCCTGCTGTCGAGAGCCCCCATCATGAAGGGAAACAGTTGCCTCAGGCCACACTCAGGACTCACTGGACAAGCATGTATTGATCCTACCATGTGCCAGGCGTACTCTCGGCCCTGGGGACACAGCAGTGAAAAAATCTACCCAACCCCCCGCCCTGGTAGAGCTCACATCTCGTGCAGAAAGACAGACCAGAAAGAAATGTAGTAACTTAGGAGATAGTCAGCAGATGGTCAGCAGCGCCGGGGAAAAAACTAAAGCAGAAAGGTCTGTGGGGAATGCTGAGAGCAGGGTGACTCATGGGGGGTCCAGGAAAGCCCCCCAGAAGGACCCGGGGCAGCAACAACCAGAGGAGGTAAAGGCAGGAGCCGTGCAGCAGCCTGGGGAAGAGCAGGCCAGGCAGAGGAGACAGCAAGGGCAAAGGCCCTGGGGCAGCACCCTGCAGGAGGGAGAGCCTTGGGAGGCAAGAGGGCAGTGGGAGGCCACTGGCAGGACCCAGGCTGTGCCCCAACTCATGGCCGCTGCCAGACTTCATCTTGAATTGAAAGAGAGGCCCGCAAGCCATGGAGAGGAGAGGCTGGGTCTGACCTCCACGGTAAGCAGCAGAGGCCGAGAGCCACACAGGCATATCTGGAATGTTCTCAACCTGTATCTGACAAGCAATAAAAGAGAGGAAGGGCCTTTTCCACCCATCTGTTTTTGCCCCAAAAGGAAAAGCCAGGCGTGGTGATGCACACCTGTAATCCCAGCACTCCAGAGGCTGAGGCAGGAGGATCGCTGCAAGTTCGAGGCCAGCCTGGGCTACAAAGTGAGCTCAGGGCCAGCCTGAACCGCATAGCAAGACCCTGTCTCAAAAAAAACAAAAGGAAGTGTGGTTCTCGCTGGCTGTAGGACGCCCCGCCCCCACCGGAAAGTCCGCTCCCTGAGGCAGTGCCACCGCCTGTGGCTTGCTTATAGACACATCTCCTGCCATGCAAAAGGCCTGGCACCTGGTGGTGCTCATTACTCACTGAAGCCAGGTGCAGACCCACCAGAGATGCAGACGGCACCACACCGCCCCACCTCCGGACAGGCAGAGCCAATGCCTAGGTCTGACCCAAAGTCAGACTCCAGAGTTCCGGCCGTCCCACCCCGCCCCACCCTCGCTGTCACACAGAGCCAGCTCACTCTGCTTCACCAAAGGTCACGCAGACTCCAGGGTCACCCAGGGCCTCAAACCACCAACCCAGAGCCCTGTCAGGGTAAGTGGCTGCCCTGGGTGTGCACCTGTGTTTCAACCCCGCCTCTGACTCCTGTCCTAGCCTGTGCTGCGGCTCCCCACATCCGCGGTCTCCGAGCGCCCCCTGCTGACCGCTGTCCCATGTACCCTACCCCTGGGGCTAGAGCAGTCCCAACAGCAACTGCTGGAGTTAGGCTTTGGCCTCAGCCCTTTCCCAGCTGCTGTGACCTACAGCGTCGACTTAGCATTCCCATCTTGCACCTCCTCAGCCCTCTGTCCCCCTCTGGGGTCAGAGAGGATCGCCTGGCACATAGATATGCAGACAGGGCACAGACATGTGTTCCCCAGCCTGGGACCCCCTGCAGGCTCCTAGGTGTTAGGAGCGTCTCTCTAGGTATTAGGAGCTGAACTTGAAAGACACAGGCATGGGGCTGGGGATTTAGCTCAGCGGCACAGCACCTGCCTGGCAAGCGCAAGGTCATGAGTTCGATTTCCGGTACCAAAAAAAAAAAAAAAAGAAAAAGAAAAGAAAGACACAGGCAGGGAGGGCAGTACCAGGCCTCCCTGGGCAGGGCACAGTGGGTCCTCTGCCTCTGCCCTGGCTTCAGTCTCTCTCCTCCCACTGCCCTTTCTGAATCATCTCTCACACCTACCAAGCTACCCTTCCTTCAAGCCCTCCACAGCCCCGTGCCGTCCGCTAGGCCATCGCACTTCCTGCCACAGAACTGACCTGCTGGCACGGACCTGCAGATTTCATTATGTGCTGAGCCGGGAGCCCCGTGAGGAGTGAGGGGAGGCCTCTGGAGACAGCCGCACATACATAGGCACACAGTTCTCTGCCAGAATGTACACCCATGTGCACACACACACACTGTTGGCATGCATGGACACACACGTACATGTGTGCATGCAGATGTGCACATAGCTCACGGGCACTGTGTGTCACCTCAGCGTACATGCAAATCTGTGTGCACGCCTCCGTGTAGGAGTTCTGAGGACACTGGCCGAGGCAGGTGCACCATCAAAGCCCACA